GTTAGTCAAAGGACTGCTTGATACTCTTGTACATCGGCAGCCAAGGTCCTAGGCACGAGAGGGCGATGATCCTGGGGGGACAGTAGCGTCGAAGAACCTCTTCACCTTTCCTACTTTTGTTCATGGCGTCTGGGTTCGCTTTGTGATAATTATACGGCCCTCAGACCTCCTTTACGCCCGGCACAAGCCTTCTGCGGTATCTCATCTCTCTCGTCTCCTGGTATTTCGAGATGATCCAAAGGCCCTCCCCACCCCTCCTCCTGTGAGCCCCTGCGACGCCCGAGTTTGCTGTGTCATATGAACTGCGATGGACATTGACGGAGATCGAATTACCATCTCATCCCCCGTTGTGAAAGTCCCGTGGGTCCTCCTACAATGCAACCTGCGGGTAGGTCGTTCGTTCCTCCTTGTTCTCCCTCCCCGCCCCGCCAAGCGGCGGATGCGCCCGGCGCGGGAAGAGATTCCCCGCGGCGGTGTACCTTAGCGCATCCTCCGGAAATATAAGTCATCTAGGTGAGTATAGTCAAACTGTAACCCGACCAAGGCTGATCTGATCGGCCCGGTGACGGCACATCATAGGGCAATCCGATCTTGTTTATGTCGATGGATGCAAGGGGGTCGCATTGCCTTATATGGCCCCTCTTGGGCTCAAGACACTCGCCAATCCGTGCGACAATCCAACAATAAGAGGTTCATCTCTCGTCTACCTAGGTTTGGGGAGATGCTCCACACTTGGACAGCAATGGGTTGTCGGTCAATGACACATATTAATGCTGCATCCTACGCCATTGCTGGGTTGAATCCATGAACCTTTTGGCAGTCGAGGCGTCTACCATAGAGGAGCACTATCACACCCTGGAACTGACTTACATACTAGAGTCGTCACAGAGATCCTCGCACCGGAAGAAAAAGAAGCAATGCAGGATGCGGAAAGAAACACGTTGAATTTATTATTTAGTGGTGGTATCTCGTTCGTCCCCCACTACCAAGCCCCGAGGGATATCTCCTCCCGTTCACCACGAATGGCACGGGCTTGCTCAGTGGCTGCGTTGTCGTGATGGCGTCCCACATCTGACGGAAGCTCGCACGGCGCGCAGGCAGCATGCCGTACTGCAGGCTGTACAGATTCTTGCGGTTGAGGGGCGGGACGAATTGGCCCGTCAGCAGGCAGAGGAGCACCCGCGGGGAGAGATAGTGCTTGCGGATACGGCTTCCCATCTGAAAGTACTGGTGGAACATGGCTCGGAAGGTGAGGGGTATGGACTGCGAAGGTTAGGGTTGAGCCTCATGTGACTTCAAGTGTTAGGGGCTCACCTTGAGGTAAATGACGGAGGTGGGCGGTTCGTTGGAAGTATTACTAAGTCTATAATCATGGGTATCTCGAAGCTCAAAACGAATGCCGCCTATTGATGTCAGTCGTAGAACATCATTTGAGATAGAGGCTGCATCTTACCTGGAAGTCGTCTCGGGTCCTTGACCCGTAACATCAGCGCAAAAAGGGGGAAATGGTTTAAACAAGACAGAAGTGTATCGAAAACGGCCTTGAGCGAGATGATGACCATCCGCGCAACGGCAAAGTTGAGGTAGAATACTACCACCGTCGGGAGGAGGAAGAAGAGCAGGGTGAAAAGGATGGTGCCGACAAGGAGCTGGTCCAGATCGTAGTCGCACGAGTCAATGCGGTTGCGGAGGACATTGTGCTTCTTACCACGGAAGAGATGAAAGAGCGAGATGAGAATCGTTAGCTGCCAGTGGTAGATTCGGGCTGACGCGAGGTAAAAGGAGTAGATGTGAATTGTCAGACCAGAGAGCAGGTCCGAGAACATGGCAATAGGCATGCTGGCACCGGCGAAGCTGGAGAAGCCGATGAACCAGATGATGCGAGGCAAAACTGGCTGAAGGGCTGCGATGCAGTCTGGTTGGATTAGCGTTGGGTTTACTCATTTCATACATTGGTAACTCACTTGACCAATACTCGATCACCCATAGAAACAGATCTCCGAGAAACAACGCCAACTCCTTGTTCAGTTTCAGACCCGCAGGCCAGCCCATGAGCCAAGAAATGCTTCGTTGCAGCGCCTCAACCGTGTACACCCTCAACAGCTCACTGATTGTACTGGCGGCCCAGTCCGCATTGTCGATGATGTAGGATCCCAGCGCGATGCCTATGATGACATCGTTGGCGACGAGCCACAGGCTATTGTAGAAACGGATGTAGTCGGGATGGCTAGTCGTGACGCTCTCCCAGTCGTTCTTACGCTGCCGCAACGTCGTATACTGCATGGGCCAGTAGCAAAATTGCTGAAGCCGGATCTCTACTTGCTGCGCTGTCGCCGAAATGTCCTTCAGGGCCAGGTAGTTATCCTTCAGTCGAAACTCCAGAATCTGAAGGAGGAGCTCGGCAACCGCTCTGTGGCCCATGAGCATATACACGAATCCCCACTGGATCAGCGGAAGCACGTATAGGATCAGGAGGTCCCAGACGAAGTTCCGCACTGTTGTCACGTTCTCCACTACCCGCTCCGAGACACTCAGTGTCCGCTTGGGCCTGGTTCCGATCCGTGATATGTTCTTTTGCAGAAGCTGCTCCAGCTCCCAGGACCAGTTGATTTGGTTCACGATTTTCGGCAGGGCCTTCTCTTTCGGCGACGGGTTTCGCTTGATGATGGTGTGCAGCTTCAGCTTTTCCACCAATTTCCTCTTCTGCTCCTTCATCTTTAGTTCTTGCTTCTCCTCCTCGGCCATGTGCTCCGTCGGTGGTAAGCCCGGAGCCTCCTTGTTTCCTAAAGCGAGCGAGATAGGATTGAGCGAGATGTATTGCATTCTACTAGGGCGCGGGCGGTCGTAGAGGATGATTTGTATACTCAAGGCTTTGGCGCAAGTGATTCGGGGGGGCTTTACACCGGCAGAGGTCGTCGTCGCGACGAATAGAGAGGGGTCGAGCACGACGGCGTCGCTAGGGTTGGTGAGACCCAAAACATGCATTGCTCCGTGGCCGCACCGTTCGTAGATGCCGTTTACGGGGTGAGGGGGGTTTCGGAAGAGGGTGCCGATTTTGAGGGCGAATTCAACATGGCCGGCCTGTCAATTCGTCAATTGCTGCGAGGGTTGGCGCTCTAGGGGTGTGCTGACATCGACATCGTCGAGTATGGCTACGACGAAGACATCCAGGGTTGAGTTCCTCCATCCCACAACAACGCCAGGCAGGTCGGAGCGCTGGATGTCCGTCGGCCAGAATATCCTCATTAAACCGTCATTTTCTGGCATGTCAGCCGAGCGCTGCGCAGAATACGGCGCTCAGAAGGACCCTCTCCGTCGCAACTGTTCTCTGGCCGAGACGCCAGCTCCGGGGGGTCGGGGGTGCTATGGTGGGTACCGTCATTAGCCACAAGCTCGTCCCAAGTAGTTGCGCAAAAAAGAGACATGTCTCAAGCGGGGTGGGCATTGAAGGTTTGCGTCGTACCAGGTTCGCTTCCTTGGTGGCTAAACGTTCCACGGGGATAAAGATGAGGAGGTAGACGAAGGTTAGGAGCGCAAAACCCTTGGCGGCGCGTGTCTGGGAGCAACGGAGGTTAGAGACAGCTGGCGCAAAGGGGCCGAACAGCAACAGCCAGGGTAAAAGATAAAGAAAAAGAACGCACAACAACTCCGTAGTCCCAAGCGAATATGGCAAGCTCATAGAGGCGTGTCACCAGGTCCCATCGGGCGGTGATGTAGCCGGCGACGAAGATCCCAAGGCTGAGGACTGAGAGGGGGTGCATAGAATCGCTATTCCCTTGGACGGTGCATGCCGAGGCTTGTCGCCAAGATTGATGGTTAGTTTGAGGGAGCGGAGGAGATGGATGTCGGACTGCGGACTCGGCTGGGACGGCGGGATAGGCGCAGGGACAGGGGGTCGGAGCTTGAGAGTATCGTGGGGGTCGTGGGTTGAGTCGATGTGTTTTCTCGTGAGCTGGAAGGGGACGAGAAGAACCCGCTTAGTACGAGGAACTGAAGTTGTGGTGGTGGTACTGCTTTGGTGTTGCGTTTTGCGCGCGCACGCGGTTGTCTGAGTGAAGAGAAGTGACGTGGAGATAGAGAGAGAGATGACGGGTGGGTGTGCAGTTGCTGAAGGTGGAAGAGCAAAAGCCAAGGCCAGTCAAGGGACAAGCTTCGTTCGCGGAGGACACGCGGTAATTCTGGGAATTGGCACGGCAGCGAATTATTGGACGTCGGGTCATGATCGGGGGGCGCGAGTCCCCTCGGTTCTCTGCATGTGTTGACTGCTGACTGCAGCATACCTACCTGGGCAGGTAGGAGGTACCTTGGTGGACAATGTGCTCTCTCATTAGCGGGTCGCGTCCACTGAAGGGGTTCGCAGTGGGTATTAGGTGGTGTGTTAGAGGACACGGTGCCAGAGATCCACACCCTACCCACCCTCTCAGACTGGGATGTGACAGTGAGCCGCTGCGGCCCATGCTTCTTTTTTTTCTTCTTTTCTTTCTCTTGAGCCTTCCCATTTCATCTGAGTTTTTGCTTCGCTAGGTACCTACCTACCTAGGTATGAATGAGGGATGACATGACAGAAGGAGAGAAAACATGCAATCGCCGTTTCTGGATGGTCGATTAGCAGCTGCGGCTGTGAAGGAAAATAATCAATAGTATATGACCATGACCGGCTTGTGGATGAACGGGCTACACTACTTTGCAGCGAGTGCATCAAGTCAATGGAGACCGGACGATGATCTCGATGTTTCCCCCTCCCTGTTCCCTACCCTACCCCCCTATGCAGCCTCATTGTCAAATGCTCCTAGTATTCTAAATGGCACCGCCAGTACCAAGTCTTGGAGGAATTTAAGCTCAGCAATCAGCACGAGCCATAGCGATTCCCTTGTTCTGACTGACTGCCTCACCATACCTTATAAGCAACGTTAACCACGGAACTGTTTCTGTCGGCTTGAACACGCATCATAGATCAGAGCAAGGGAATGGGACATATAATGAGATTGCGGTCTCTACACTGCCACATTGCGTCCAACAAATGCAACCCTGGAAAACAACGCCAAAATAGCAACCATACGTGACTGTGCTACTGCAATCCCCATGTCTCCTGCAAGAATGGTCAGACTCTGTCCTGTCCATACACACACACACACACACACACACTCCCTCTCTCTCTCTCTCACTCGCCGCTGTCTGAGATGACTACTCACATTTGCGTCCCATGTACGTCGCATCGTTGTCTTTCTGGTCCTCTCGCGCCTCGTCCAACAACTTGTCTATTCCGCGTTCCTTGAGCGCGACCTGATGGGCGTCAGTTGGGAACAAAGTCGCCCTCCGGATCACTGCGGCAAGCCTCTTGATGCCATCTACACTCACCGTCAAACACTTTTGGTAGTTTTTGAAGAGATCGGCGCACTCGTTGTTATCCGTGCCAGTCCCTCGAAGGTACTCTTGTATACATTAGACGCCTTCTCTAACTTTGATACCGTGACGCGGGGGATTGCAAGGTAAATGTAGACCACACTCACTTTCGCTGTACCATTTCAAGAAGCATGTGTCGTAGCGTCTGTTTGTTACAGTCAGCATAGTCTCTCCAATACCCGTCATGAATCCCACATACTCTTTGACTTCGTTGCATTCGGGCGCTAGAGAGGCAGACATGGTGACGGGCTGTGTTGTTGGTGGAAGGCGCGGAGAGCTGTAAGGTGAGGTTGAAGTTGCGACTAGAAATGGAGGCAAAATGGCCACAGGGGGAAGAGCCTATGTGCCTAAGGTCCGTGGCTTCACCCGTTGTAAGTGGACGACGTCTCGGCCAAAGCACCCGCCTTCTTCTTCGGCAAATTTCAACGCCCTCGCAAGTCAGGAACCAGCAGCCGGTAATCGCGGACTCGAAATATCTACAAATCCATTCACATTCCAAGTTTTGTCCATACACCGAATTGCCTTCTTGTCCCCTTCACCCCCAAACAAAACAAAGAGCATCTTCGTCAACTTTCAAGGTCCCTTATCCCACACACTCTCATTCTCTTATCGATAGGGCACCACTCACTATCTTATCGGCCGGGGGGCCTCTTGCAGGCGGGCATAATTTTTGATCGGTCGACAAACTTCGCAGCGCGAACCCGCGACAGCCTCCGCCAAACCCGCCCAAACAGCTGCGCCGGCACAATGACGTCTCCTCAGGACTTCAAGTCCCTCCAGGACAAAGTCCAAGCAGCGCTCCTCGCCACCGTCAAGTCGGTTAACCGCGTTTCCGCCGAAGATTTGCCCTTCCAGCGCGCCGTCAACCCCAACGTCGGCGAGGACCTCGACGCCAAAACCACCCGCATCCTCGAACTGTCGACGTCCCTCCTCAAGTCCGCTGCCGATGTGTGCGGCCTCAATGCGCCCGAACTCGAAGATGCCGACGACGTCGACATGCGCTGGCGGAGCATCGTGGACATAGTCGACTCGGTCCTCGAAAAGGCCGACACCTCCATTGACGAATACACCGGGGCTCTGAAGAGAAAGGATGCGCCAGCCACCGATGCCGTGAGTTTTCCAGGCTTTCGTACGACAGACGCCGTTTACTGATACTATCTAGGCTCCCCAGTCTAAAAAGCCCAAGACGACCGGGACCGTTATCCGCAGTGCGAACATTACTAAACCCCAGCTTCATTTTACTCGGACAGTCGACAACAATACTGCGTGGAAGCCCATCATTACCGAGAAGCCTCATGCCACAGTTTCGCTCGAGAACAGCTTAGTGACAAGCGAAACGGACGATGGATTCCTTCAGTACGATTACTCCATTTTCTTGCCTTTAATATTTCCTCGGTCTCACGACTCCAAGCGAGCTGCATTCAAGTCACGCAGAAGGATGAAGGCGCTGCAGTCGATCAACAGTACTGACGAAGGAATTAGATATAAACATCCTTACGAAACCGAAATTCTCGAGGCGAAATACCCGGACCGTGTCTACGAACAAACCGAGCCGATCCCCTGGCAACCTGTCGAAACCACCGAAGCCACTTACGTCGATACCTACGAGGGCGTCTTGGAGATGCTGGAGGACTTAAAGAAGGCAAAGGAAATCGCTGTCGACCTGGAGCATCATGACTTTCGCACTTATGTTGGACTCACTTCACTCATGCAGATTAGCACGCGAGAGAAGGACTGGATCGTCGACACTCTAAAACCCTGGAGAGAGCGACTCCAGGTTCTTAACGAGGTCTTTGCTGACCCCAGCATCATCAAGGTTTGCAAACGCACATCTCGTCATATTAACACAGCTAACAGAGTGAGTCTAGGTCTTCCACGGCGCGTTCATGGACATGGTGTGGCTGCAGCGCGATCTCGGCCTGTACGTAAACGGCCTCTTCGATACTGGCATGGCTTGCGAAGTGCTGCATTACCCGCAAAAGAGCTTGGCTTTCTTGCTGAAGAAGTTTGTCAATTTTGATGCCGACAAGAAGTACCAACTGGCCGACTGGAGAGTGCGGTAAGTAATTGTCCGTTGCGGTGACGTTTGGATCTAATGATAAATAGCCCTCTGTCCGAGGAGATGCTCTACTACGCTCGTTCCGACACGCATTACCTCCTGTACATCTACGATAAGATGCGCAATGAGCTTGTGATGAAGTCAGACCGTGGCAACCCCAGCACCGACTATATTGAGGCGACTCTCCAGAAGTCCAAGAGCCTTTCCCTGAGCCGATACGGAGGCGAAACCTTCGACCCCAAGACGGGCAAGGGCAACAAGGGCTGGTACAACACTCTGCTCAAACACCCCATGCCCTTTTCGGGCCAGCAGTTTGCTGTTTACAGAGCCATCTGGACCTGGAGGGATGAAGTGGCACGTAGAGAAGACGAGAGCACTCCGTTCGTCATGCCTAATGCCATCATTGGCGACATCGCAAAACACATGCCCCCTGACGCCAAGGCCCTCCACGCCCTCATCCCGAACCATGCTTTCATCGCAAGACGGAATGTTACCGAAATATGGAAACGCTACCAAGAGGCGAGAGAACGGGGCGTCAACGAGCCGCGGCTGCTTGACTTCTTCAAGTCTGACCTTCCCAAGGCTGCGGCCAAGCCTTTGGCAGAAATCGTCAGCGAAGATGCGGCCGATGCTGTCCTGGAGCCTACAGAGCTGACCCAATCTCAACTGTTCGGCGGCATGCCCCTCAGTACTGCCTGGGAAAAGGCTTCGGCCGCGGCTAGTGGCCTAGGCGAGTACGTCATGCTTCCGTGGCAGAAATTTGTACAGAATGCAAAGACAGTCGATGCAGCCGCTCAGGAGGATGTGGCTATGGAAGGCGGTGTCGAGGCCGAAGCCAAGGCGGCCGCTGCTGCTCAGCCAAAAGAGCCTGAAGTGGACGAGGAATTCACTCTCAAGGCCGGCACCAAGCGTAAGGTTCCGACAGAAGACGTATCCGACGCCAGCGACGATTCGGACTCTGGAGGGAGCTCGATCGACATCGTGTTGGAGAAGCCAGGCTCGGGCAAGTCTGGCAAGAAGGGCAAGCATAACTCAATCGAGAGCAAGGCAATGGTGGCTTCGAAGCGGGCCGACAAGGTCACGCGCTACACGGAGGAATACGAAAAGGCCAAGGCCGAGGTCGAGCGCCTAACCGAGCTAATTGCCCACGGCGGCGCCGATACTGCCCAGCTGGAGGAGGCGGAGGGCACCGCTGCCGACAAGCAAGAAAAGCTGGAAAGATATGTGTCGGCACTCAACAACCGCAAGGCAAAGGCGGAACGCAAAGCTGCTAAGAAGGCCGAGAAGGCCAAGAAAGAGGCGGAGAAGGCGGAGAAGGAGGCGGAGAAGGAGGCCAAGAAGGCGGCGAGACGGGCTGCAAAGAAGGCAAAGGGGGATGCGAAGAAGGCCGAGGAAGAGAATGCTGCGGCGGAATCTGGCGACAGCGACGAGGAGGAGACGTTCGATTACAGTAAGGCGACGTCTGTGCTCCACGCAAACCGGACGGGTAACCGCGGCAAGGCGCACGTCAAGCCGACGTTCGACCCGTACGCTAAGACGGGAGACGACGCGCCGAAGGGTGCAAGGAAGGCCGTACCTCCGAGAGGCGAGAGGACTGCCACGTTCAAGAAATGAGACGTTGGCTGATTTGGGGGAATGTCTAGTGCAGGGTCAGCTTAGTAAGAAGCATTGGCTATTGGTGGATAATTAGCGTTGCCTACTGTCGAGGCGAGATGGTGACGCCTGTTTGACCATAGTCCGGCTGGCTGTAGACGATACAAGGCCGGATATGTTACAAAACCAAAACAGAGAACTGACGTACAACATTGCACATGTAGGTACGTGTGTCTTACCGTGAGAGTGATTGAGAAGACCCTGCCAGTCCGGCGGTTGAGTGTTGAGTTATATGGTCCTAATACGTCGAGGAGTAACAATCTGGGCAAGGGTCCCATGCACAGAGTGCGGGGGAGAGGGCGGAATACCTCCCGACCTCTCCCCCTCCCAGGGGCAATAGGTATGCGATCCCTTCAAGTCTCCCCTTAGTGCGGTCCGATTATCAAGCTGCGGAAGGGCTCGTTGAGGGTGGGGATATGTCAAAAACCCGGGCCCCACCCCGCGCCCTGCGGCGGACAAGCGTGGGGGGTTTCCTGTTGCGCCTGCCGATTTGCCGTCTGTTAGCTCCGGCGGCCAAGAGTCTAGAGGGCCCGGTAGAAACATCCTGACGCCCCCCTCCCCCTGAGGCTCTTCTCCTTTTTTGAGTAGTCACTGGAGACCTCGACAACGTCATTCCTTGGGGGATGGCATGTCAAAAGTGTGTTTCCCACGTTTTGGGACGCCTTTGACCATGGTTGTTATGCAGGGGAGTGGATTAACGAACCGATGTCGCAGTCCCGCCCCTTATCTTATCCAGGGTTCGTCTCATGGCAACTCTCACTGACATAGCACGCATACTCACGCCCTCAAGAGCATCTCGTTCTGCGTGAAACCCCCAGATGCTTATAACTTCTCAGACCAGGCCAAGTTACCATTTCATGGAGACTTGAGGCACAGGAGCCCAGAAAGCCGTCAAGCCCCCCTCCCTTCGGCGACACACACAAACACACAACACATATACCATCTCGCAATGGCGGCCGACCCCGCAACCGAAGTGAAGAAGCCGGCCCGGCTGCCCTCGCAGACGCACCACGTCATCGTCAAGCTTGAGACAATACACGTGGCCCTCCCCGACGTCGACATGGGCTCCATGACGCACGAGACCATCGGCTACGAGTACACGCGGCCCTCGGAGGCTGGTGTCGTGGCCGCGAGGGCGTGGCCCGCGAGCGTGCTTGTCACGACGACGGTGCCGATCAACAAGGACACGCTCGGGGAAGCACCATACCTGTGAGTTTCCCCTTTCCCGGTCTTGCTTATGTCTGGCGTTTGAGGGACCGCCCACGGGGAGGGGTGAGAGGGTGAATGAGATTAGCACCGATGAGATGAACAACGGGGGACTGATTGTGGATGGTGGTCGTGTAGGAAGTGCGTCATCACCGAGACGACGGGGACGGATCACATTGATCTGGAGGAGTGCAGGCGGCGCGGGATCACCGTCATGTACGCTCCCCACGCGACCGTCGAGGCCGTGTCCGAGCACGCCCTCGGCCTGGTGAGTCTCCCCTCCCTCTCGTTCGTCGCTTTCCTCCTCCTCTTCTTCTTCGTGGCAATCCCTTGTCGGGCGCAAGGACTCGGGTTCGCCGTTTCTCCAGACCTCCCAGACGAGACTTTGAAAGGGACTTGATCTGACAGAGGCGGTGCACCTTCCAGTACTTCTCCGCACGCAGGCGCCTCGTCACCCTGCACAACACAATGATGGATCACGACGGCGCGCGCACGAACCCCTGGCGCGCCAAGGGGAGCATGTCCTCCCTCCTCTTCGACGCCGAGGGCCGCCCGCCGCACACCTGCGGCAACGAGGTTGCGGGCGTGATCGGCTACGGGCCCATCGGGCAGCGCCTTGCCAAGCTGTGCGGCGCGCTGGGCATGGAGGTCCTTGTTGCCGCCCGCAAGGACGCCACCGCCGCCGCCGCCGCCGCCCCCCGCGTCCCCTTCGACGAAGTCCTCCGCCGAGCCACGGTGCTCTTCCTCGTCGTGCCCCTGACGCCGGACACAAGGGATCTCATCTCGGAACGGGAGCTGGCGCTGATGCGTCCCGACGCCGTGGTGGTCAACGTCGGGCGCGGCGGGACCGTCAACGAGGCGGCGCTACTGGCGGCGCTCAGGGCCGGCGGGATCGCGGGCGCAGCGACGGACGTGTTCGAGGTCGAGCCGGCGGGCAGCGGACGGGACAGCGTGCTGCTGGGCGAGGGCGCGCGAGGCGTCAACCTGACGCTGACGCCGCACCTCGCATGGTGCGCTGATCAGACGAGGATGAACATCCGAAGGGTGGTGGGGGAGAACATCGCGTTGTTCGTAAGCGGTGAGAAGGGGACTAATGTCGTGCTGGATATGAGGTGAGAGACGGGTCTAAGTGAAAGGGTGGGGGGCTGAGGGTGTCGGGAGATTTTTGGCAAAGGTAATTACATCCGTCACAGACGAGATGTGGATGGGGTTTGCGAGCAGCCCATATTGCCAAGGAGGCCTGACCATGACCATGTTTTCAGAGCCTGTGTTTCAACCCACCTCGGTGGCGCACCAAGCTTCTGATAATGCCACAAATATAGTACACGTGTAACCAGGGACCACGGTCAACGTCCTGGAGAGTGATGCGATGATCACGATGCTTGAATCAGTTGGCCTCCCCTTCACGTATGTCCGGTCTTTAGCATGAGCCAAGCAGTTGCTTCTTCGCCGGCCGATCCTCTCGCCTCCCCCCTTCCCCGTCTCCGCAATCAATCTCCCGGGGCGTCGTCATCTGCACTAACCACTTGGCAGGACCCTTGCCTGGTTATGGTCTCTACATGTCGTCGAATAGTTCGAGCTTCTTTGCCAAACAACCTGGAATCCATCGCCCTGTGGGTGTAATGATGCAGGCCACGGGAAGCCCCGCTGATCGCCTTTAATCTCCTGGACCCCCTGGCACCTCTGCTGTACCTCCCACTGCGCCCATCCCGGCATTCGAACGGAGGGCGGTCTGTTTGTATCTACGACGCTGGACTCGGAAAAGTTCGCATGGAGTAAAGTCCAGCTGGGATTGAGGCCTCGTCCTTGTCTTCCTCGAATCCAGTACACGTAGGGCCAGACGGGGGTGAGGGCGGAACCTATTAACGACGAGTCTGTGTAATGAGCAGGCCTGCCCCAGAATTCATCGCGGAAAATATCCACGTTGCGGGGATCCAGGTGGGATGGCACAGGGAAACAAGTCCTTTGACTAGGACTCCGGACAGCGATGATCTAGCTTGAACATGAAGCAGACAACGAGAGTTGTAATATATATGTGGCCGAGTCCTTCGGATAGTCCAGAACCTACGGCCGACCGGGATGTTTCCCGTCCCACCGGGACATGCGTGCCGCTAAGCGGGCGGCGGAAGAGTCCAGTGCAGTCGCCCGTCATTGTCATATGTCCGAAACGCTGGCGCCCCAGGGGCAATTAACATTGGGCAGCCGCTTGTATCTACGAAAAAGATGGAGAAAAGAACCAGAATTCAAGGATGTAAGAAGCTTCACTCTGCCATTTATGAGCTTGACTTCATTTCCCGACATGCCATTCATTCCTGCAACTTCTTGGGCTAGGACTCTGACTTTCGTTAACCATCCACCAACGCTCGTTCTATCAAAAGAAATATCCCACACGCCAGCTATATCTCATCGTACACAACCACTCCCCAGACATGCAGTTCTCCTCCCTCCTCCTCCTCGTCCTCACGCCCGCCCTCGCGACCGCGACGCTCGACCCGGCCACCTCCAACACCAAGGGCAAGTGCCCCTCGAAATACGCTTGCAGCGCTACAAAGGTCTCAAAGGCCATCCAGGCAGCTGAGTGCTCGCACAACACGCGCACCGGCAAGACCCAGACCTTCGCCGTCTTCGAGACGGACCACCAGTACGATGCCAGCCACGGCGCCCCCTACGGCACCTGCTCCGCGTACACCTGCGAGGCGCCCGCCCAGATGCTTGCCGACGCGGACTGCTGGACCTTCTTCTGGAGGTGAGTGAACTGACCCCACGGTAACGGACGGTCAAGTTGGGTGGGATTTTTTTTTGTTTTTTTTTGGTTTTTTTTTCCTTCACGAAGAAGAGGCTGACAAAGGTTTCGTGGCGTAAAGCGGCACCGGCGAGCAGAGCGGCGTCGGCACCGGTTGCATCAGGGACCCGAACACGGGCGAGTGCGGCTGCGAGAACTCCGATGGCACCTTCATCCCCGGCAGCGACAGCTGCAAATGAGCTTCCACTATACTGGCTGTAGGAGGGTCATGATTCCTAAGCTAGGAGCGCCGGCCGCCTTCGTCTGGCAAGAACTGGGCATTTCTATGTACATATATCACATTACTCTTGTATAAATGCTGTGTTAACCTTTTTGCGGTTAATATCACGTAGCTCACAGGAAGCTACAGGCTCCGTTCCAGTCTCCTCAACGATTAGCTCAATATATGCCCCAAACGTACACATGCTGTTGCGTTCCTGCGCAAGATTCTGACCGCACTGCAACGTGCAGGATTGCCATGCTCCCTCCACCTAGCAACACAGCCCCATCACTAGTTGTAAACGTTCACTCAACCTGGACCCTGGCATATCACATCATGAAGTTAAGGGGAGGCCTTTCACCACAAACACATATATAATTAGAAGTCATATCTAGTCTGTTGAAATACTCATTACCATGGGGGGACGCACATGTGTTAACAGCCTGTCCATGCCCCAAGCTCACAACTTTGGAGAAGACAGATGTTGTTGCGTTCGGGATGAACGAGGGACCCATAAATGTCTAGAGATCAGCTTACAGTAGCGGCGGCAGCGGTGGCAGTAGCAAGTGCAACATCAAATTGAACGCCATCAAGTGCAATGTGCTCAGAGACAGAATCAAAACGAGACACTGCCCGACTTCCACGGCATGAGCGCCGCATCTTTCTGTTACTGTCGTCTCGGCCCCTGTTTATAGCCTGAATTGGGCGTACCGGCGTTTGCACCGAAGAATGGGACCTGGTGAAAAGCCCCAGCCTTATAACAACCACGCCGTTACGTCGCTCAGTACGCGCAGCTGACTTGGGACACCTTTGCCAGGCAAATGCAGTCAGACGGCAGTCATTTGTGCAGAACTACCACCAATCAGCAAGCGACCATACAGCCTAATCAGTTGACAGCACCTGCTGGACCTGTATTCTTCAAGTCCATCAAGACAACAAACGCCACCGAAACAACCCTTCGAAGACACTTGAGAGCGTCGTCCCGTCACCATGACGGAGTGGCACGACCCGTCCTGCCGGCGCCTGGATGTCTTAACCAGCGGCGGCATCTCCAGCTGCCTCAGCTGCGGTTCCATCCAACTAGACAGCGAGACATCGCCTTAAGAGGACGCAGATACCGACAACGGTACTATCTATCAGCCGCTGGTGTCTACTATGGATATCCGGCTACTCACCTTATTGCCAGGGAACTTTGACGACCCGATCAAGTGCCACCCACCTATCCCTCAGCAGCACGGCCAGCATGATCGATTACGACGCCATCTCGTACACGTGGGCAAACAATGACAGCAAGATAGAGTGGACAGAGTGTATCACCCTCGACGGGCGGGAGTTTCTCGTGACGCCAAACTGCATGATGGCAATGCGGCGTGTCAGGAGCCGAGGTGCTGAGAAAGTCATCTGGATCGATGCCGTCTGCATGAACCAGAAGGACGCCGAGGAAAGAAGCCACCAGGTGCGACTGATGCCGCAGATCTTCTTCCGAGCGCAGCATGTCCTCATCTACGTGGGAGAACCGGCACCGGAGGAAGAGGGGCTGCTCCAGATGCTGCAAGGTGACCATATTTCTACCATACCCTTGCAACCCCTGCAGGTGATATTGGAAACCTTTTTGCAACGGCCGTACTTTTCGAGGGCTTGGGCCCTCCAGGAAGTTGCGCTGGCTAGGAAGGCAACGCTGATCTGCGGAAGGTTCTCCATGTCATGGTCCATGGTGCAAATCACCTAACTAGCAGCGCGGGGACTGCTCGTCAGCGCAAAAGAAAAACCAAGGCTGCTAAACATGCTTCAGTTGCCGTCGGTTCTGCAGTTCCGCGCGCCATCGTATCGTGATTCGAGCGACCTCCTTCACCTCCTTGATCTGGCACGACACAGTCGCGCAATGGATCCCAGAGACAAGCTCTTCGCCGTATTCGGGCTTGTTTCCTGCGCCGATGCCGATGGCATTGTAGCATGTTACACTAAATCAACCGAGGAGGTATACATGTGGATGGCGGGATGGATCGCTCAGAGGTTCGGGGTGCCCGTCATGCTCGTGAGGGCTTTTCACATTGCTCGATTTGGCAAACCAGAAGGCATATCAATTCCCTGCTAGACCCCAGACTGGACAAAGACACCACTTCCCCGATCATGACCAGTACTTGCAGAGATGCACCGAGAGTGCAGAGTCAGGTTGGCTCCTGCCGGCCTGCCAGTACATGTCAACTTGGCTGCCAATTGCTTGAGATTCCATGTGTTACGACTGAGGGGGGGGGGGGGGGGGGGGGGCTCTGTGATTTAGTTGATGAGTACGGCATTCAAGCAAGAAATGGTAATCATCAACGTGATGTGCCACCATGGGCATTTGCGAGGTTGGACATAGATTCCGACGGCGGCAACAAGTCGTGCGGCCAGTATACGTTTGACTTCGATGAGCCACGACGGTACTCCCGGTACCTCGACCTTCAGGTATACCTCATACGCGAGCCCGATGAGTACAAAGACTATTCTTTCGAGGAAGCGGGCAGCGTGTCTGTCCATGTTGACGCGTCATCGTGTATGTGGGATCATGACGGCTGCGCAGGGCGAAAGAGTATTAGGCGTTTCAACAAATATGCACTTTGCGGCCGAGATCGGGGGTATGGCGATGTTCGAGCAGAAGGGTTGTTGCACATGGACGGGCTCGCTCACGAAGGCGTATGGAAGTCTGGCCCCTTTGAAGCCATTGACTTGGTCGGCGAGGACACAGCCCCATATCCAGGTCTCGGTGCAAGCCGACAACTGGAATTTTTCCACCGCCAGTCAGCCTAGGAAAGATATATTATGCTCGCAATGGTTGAGCCCTTGAGCCATGTGGCAAACGTTATAGAGGGATTCGATGCCCTAGATCCGAGGCTGAGAGGGTAATCGTGTTCAATTGTACGGAGTACTGAACGAAGAGACGGTAACGCAGCGGAAGTTGTCGGGAGATCAAAGGCCGCCAAGGCGCGAAAGGGAGTAGGAGGCGCGGCGATAATAGGTCGAATCGGGAAAGGAGCTTGGGCCAGGCGCAGAGCTCTGGACCGTCGCAATAACACTCGAGTGCTTTGCCCACGCTTGGCTCGGGAATGGTTCCCCCTTTGCTCGCGCTCTCTTGCGCGATTGACGCCAACCGAGATGACGGAGTAAAAAGTTTTTCTCTAGGGACTCGCTCGGATGTTTGTCGAAATCAAAGGTGACGATCGCAAACGTACTCGATGCACTGGTGCCTGGAGGTAAATCGGAAGGTGCGTGATTCGAGATTCGCCAAGCATGTACATTTGTTTGCGCGTTAAGCCTCGCGTTGTGCTATATCATATTAGTCGTTCTGTGTTGTTTCGTGTCGGTGACTGGGCGACTCGGTGTGATCCGGAAGGCTGCGAGGACGAGATCTGACGAGGTCTGGCTTGCTTGAGGAATGTCATAGAAAATGGCGCAAAGTTCCTCGATGCTGTTCATTCCCGTGAGCTTTCTCAGAATTTCCCCTTTCTCTTGCAGCGCAGCTCGAAAGTTTCCCGGTGTCGCCTGCACCTTCCTTGCGGCGCTCGGCAGTTATTTCCGCGGAAGCTTCACGCAGCAATTGCAGAAGCAACCTGGGCGGGACTTGGGGTGTGGCAGGTACACTGTGGTTGAACCTCTTGGCCCCCGGGGCATGTGGCGTCTCACTCAGTTCCGTTCCTGCCCGTCCATCGAGGCAGGGCGTGTCGGTTGTTTCGGTTGATGGTGCAGCTACCGCGGAATAAGCATGAGCCTAAGGCGACGACATGCCGCCAGAGGGCGCCTGGGCCGGCGAGAGACACGGAAGGGAAGAGAAAGGAGGGAAGGAAAAGGAAGGAAGAAAGCGCCTGGGCCCCCCGGGCAAAGAGGAAGGGGACACGATGCAAAGGGTAAGACGCTTCAGTAGGTATGCCAGTATGCATCCGCTGTCATGCATCCCAGCTGTGTGTGTCATCGACGTACGGGTAATCAATCCATCACTCAGTCAATCACGGCAAACTGGCCCCGTGGCTCAACAGCTTTTTCGTATCTCGTCAACTGACTTCCTGTGAGCAAGTAGCCACCAATTTGCTTATTTTCACACTCCCCAATGAAACGTCCGACCCAGACCGACGACTCAGAAGCAAAAGAAGCTCCAGCTCAACCACTGGGCTTCTGGACCCCTAACTAGTAGTAATGCCATTGGTGCACCAGTGCTGCTGCGGCCCCCTGAGCGCCGGGCCAGAGACAGAGACAACAGTGATGCGTCATTTTTGCGGCTCTTCAACCTCAGGCATGGAGCTAGAGACAACGGCAGTCGGAAGAAATGGTGAGCGCCAACGGTGTGTGTCGGCGTTTCTTCTCCCACTTAAGGCGTACGCTACGCTAGGAACAGCTTGGCAGAATGCAAATTTTTTCTCTCTCATCTGGCCTTTTATGCCACACAGTTCAGGCGGATCAGGTACCTCGCGGATCAAACCCAACCGAAAAAGGTACTTGACCTTCGCGACATGGTGGACCCATGCATTATTGCCAATCGGTATATGTACGTACCGTACGGATACATGCACCGTACCGACAGCTGGGATTAAGAAACGCTAGATTCACGTTTGACGCTGGTTCAATCTCGCAGATACTCCTTTTGTGGATACCAGCATTACGGTCACGGCGTCGCAGTCGCACCCAAGCCAATCTCAGACACTGGAACCTCGGGTGTCGGCTCAAAGGAGCGAGACATCGTTTCCCATTGGCAAACGGCATGCTGCGTGCCAGCTCATTACCGTCGCTCTATCCGTACCGGTATTTTCTCTCACTCAGTGGTTGTCGCTGCAAGTGCACGCCAGCCAGCCTTCCGGGATTGCTGCTGGGATCTCACGTAACACTCGTCTACCTGCAGTAGGGGGCGTATGGGAGGGGGGTGTGCGCACTATAGTGTATGCCGTCACCCGGCAAGCGTCCCTAGCAGAACTATGCCGGCCAAGGCGCGCGCTCGCGCTTCGATTGACTTCATCCCATCTTGCACTCATGGTTGGTAGCGGCGATTCGACGAAAAAGTTTGATAAGAAAAAGGTGGGAAAATAAAAATAAAAATAAGATACAACGGGTGAGAACGGAACAGAGACGGATTACGGAGAAACTCATCATCATGTGCAAATCGACCGCAAGCAGCAAAACGGGAAGGGAGGAGGCGAGCGGGAGAATAAAGCGAGAGGACCTCGAGCGACTTCGCCATCGCCCCCCTTCAAACGACAAACGGTCTCACCGTGTCCCTTTTTATCTCTGGGAAGATACCGTTCCAAGCCGGTGACTTGGTTATCGTGATCCACTTGCTTTCTGGCGTCTTTCGCCCTTTTCCTTTTTTTTTTTCTTCTTTTTTTTTTTCTTGAGCTATTTTGTCGGGTCCACCCACGTGTGAGTGCTGCGCTGCGGCTGATTGGACCCGAGCGCCTCAGAGTGGGGGCCTTTGACGGTGTCGAGTGGGGGTCACTGCAAGCCACGGCCGGCTTGATATCAAAGCTGACATACATCTGTTTTCCCCCCGTTCATTGCGCTATTACAGAGTGTGGTGCCTGAGGGAATGTTTTTGAGAATTTTTCCTCCCCAGGGGAAGCCCCCGCCCAGCCCATGTTTACGGTTCCTGGCAGTCCAGGCCATTGTCAATGCTCAGCCTTTAGCTTCTAGCAGCCCAGTGGTTGCGAGCAAGTATTACATGCTCATGTCGTCTCGGAGCCTAAGCTGGCGCAAAGGTTGAATCTACTTCAGCTTGCGACGTCTGGTTATCAGCTAGCCGGCCGTAACGGACCCAACCTTGCGCATCCTCCTTAGCCTTGATACAGCAGCCCACTTCTCATGATTCGTGTTCCTGGCCCAAGGGGGCGTTTCTCTCGAGGACAAGTCGCAGGCGCGCCTCGGGCCTCAGGCACGGCCAAGTCCAAGATCAACCATTTTTTCCTCCTCACACTCCCTTTTCAGGGATTCCCTTTGCCGTCCAGCCTCCCGACAAAGCCCGAGATCGGTGCGAGGGCGTGTACCTGTGGCGACAGGTGGATAGACGGTCCACGATATGCCAACGACCAGTCATGTCTCGCTCTGATCGGAACGCCTCGCTCTCTGCGAATCGTATCCCCCCGGTGCGCCGGGCCCCACCGAGCGAGAAGACGGTATGTACTCTGTAGACGGACGGGACGGGTGTGTGTGTGTGTGTGTCCCAGTGGATGAACAAACGGTACTCGCCAGTGTCTGTCTCTCCTGTTTGATCCGATCTCGAGTGAGTTGGTGTGTGAGAGTGAAGAAAGGACTGAGGGCCTGAGGCTTCATTCAGACGGTTCCACCGTGGCCTGGCGGCCGAGCCAGCTGGATCAACTTCCGCCGTCCCGTTGGTTGCCCGGGCCCCTGCCCTCCCTCTCTCTACCGAGCCTGCCCGTCACCTGAGCGAGAGCTTTTCCCTTCCGAACCTGCTTTTGAGCTTTTTTCTCTCTCTTCTCCTTCCTCCTTCCACTTTACTTACCTCCATCCCAATCTGTCCTCTTTTTCCTATCTTCTTCCTTCCAGTCCATCACCCGTCTATCCCACAATCTCCCCTCCCATCAGTCACAATGGCCTCCACTCGCGTCCTCGCCTCCAGACTCGCCACTCAGATGGCCACCAAGGCCGCCCGCCCTGCGGTGCGCGTCTCTGCCATGCCTAAGCGCACCATCACCGGTAAGTCTTGAACGGAAGAATAGGGAGGGAATGGCGAGGGGGGGCATCAAGAAGACCGACGCCTACGGCGAGCCAACTGAACAAACCAACCCAATTGGCCTCTCACGGCACCGATTCCGATATCGTCGCCGTCGCCGTCCCCCATCGTCGAGAAGGAAGAAGACCAGTGCAAAAAAGAAAAAAAAAATCGAACCCGCTTCTGACATCGAATTTTGTTTACAGGCTTCTCCAGCCCCCTCCAGGCCGTCAAGCGCCAGCAGGCCACCACCATCAAGTCCTCCAAGGTCTTCACCCAGGTCCAGGCCAAGCGCGCCTACTCCTCTGAGATCGCCCAGGCTATGGTCGAGGTCTCCAAGAACCTGGGTATGGGTTCCGCCGCCATCGGTCTCACCGGTGCTGGTATCGGTATCGGTCTGGTCTTCGCCGCCCTCCTCAACGGTGTTGCCCGCAACCCTGCCCTCCGTGGCCAGCTCTTCTCCTACGCCATTCTCGGCTTCGCTTTCGTCGAGGCCATCGGTCTTTTCGACCTCATGGTTGCCCTCATGGCCAAGTTCGTACGTCATCACCCGCTGCCATCCATATCTCATCGGGATTCATCCAAGCTAACAACCATTCACAGACGTAAGCGATTTACTTCGCGCTGGCGAGCTGGGGGAGGCGCAGGGTTGGGATGGCTTTCGGACGGAGCCGTCTTCCCGCGTCTGGTCCCCCTCGGGACAGGTTCGCCTTTGGTTACGCAATGGAGCAGCAAACCGCCTCCACACTGCGGAACAAGCACAGAGTTAATAGACGGGATAGACAGCATGGTGGGCATTTAGAAGTATAGAGGTCTTAGACCGCACAGCCTTTTTTGGGCAGTGTTGTATAGATGGAGAATGGCTCGTGGCAGGCGGACGCGGGTATCGCACTACTCTTACGAGCGAAAAAGTTTTGCACACTCCCCGATCTTTCTTGCTTCGGCCGGTTGTTCCCACCCCCCGTGGCTCCTGGCCCTGACACTTTTTTCTGTAAAAATACTACAAACCTCAAAACTCGTGATGAACCGAACTTTGATGATGACTGAGAGTGAAGCTTGGGACAAACTGTGAGAATCTTGAAAGCATGAGGATGAAACTTCGTGAGATGGACCTGGCCTGGCAGGATTCTTCACCAACAGGATACCCTCAAGAAAGGATTGGGGCAGGAACGAGAGAGGGCGAGTAAAAAAAAAAAAAAAAACAGGTTCTCACCGCCGAGCGAGCTTCGCGGCCCCCCCCCCCCCCCCCAGGACACGCACGCGATGCTCTCTCCCCAATCTCCACTTCAGGACGGCGAGCTCGAAGCTCCCCCGAGATCTCGAACGAGGCGAATTGGCCAATGCGAGGTGAGAATTGGGCGAGCTCTAACCCTCGAGCTTATTGCGGGTGTATGTGCCTGACTCCCGTCCGTCCTCTGGACCGCGGGATGGCCCAGGGGAAGGGCGACTTCATCCCCATGGGGTTTTTTTGACCTTTCACTTCCTTGCCAGCGAACACGCGCCACGCCATCTCGTTTGGTTCCCGCCCTACCCTCTGTCCCTCTCTCTCTCTCACTCTCACTCTCGCTTCCCATTGAGGAACGGTCTTCATCGCCCACTGGACGCACACCACCGCTCGGCGATCTCAACGGCCTTGGGGGCGGCATACTCTGTCTTCTTCACTCGAGCTCGTGACCGTGGCCCCGGCCGGTCAAGGAGCCTGATCAGCTTGACCAGCCTTGTCCCAATTGTCCAGTAGTCACTGCCGACTTGAGTCCGGTCTCCGAGAAACTATGTGTGTGGGTGCTCCGCTTCGCTCGCGGCCTTATCGTCGAGCGCCTTGGCTCCGAGTCGTGCATCCATCCCTACACACTACCGAAGGGTTACCCCCAACGGCTTGCTCTTTTCTTATCTCCTCGCTCACACACACACCCCCTCTCTGGGCTGGTTGCGTGCGCGCCTTCAAACGGGGACGAAAACTTTCACCGTGGTAGTCTCTCGGAGGAAACAAAAAGAAAGAAAGAAGAAAAAAAAAGGAAAAAAAAGGAGAGAGAGAGAAAAGAAACATGAGACGAATAGGACAACGCCTCGAACAAGTCTGATCTCGAGCTTGCCTTGAGTTCGCAGTGGTGTCGACAAGCTCGACTGGAGCCAGATTGTCAACACTCTACGGCCGTCTCAAATTGATTTGGGTTTTCCGTCTTTTCTTCTCCTCCCCCTCTCGCTCGGATCTCGATCTTGACAATTTTGAAGGGGTAAGGGGAGTGAGTGGTAGGAGACTGACCCGCTCCTCGGTTCCCCCCTTCGTCCCGCGAACCGTTTCGTGGGTGCAATCTCCGTAGAAAACAACAGAAAGAAACGGTGCCACCAACTTGCCTCTTGTTATCGCGGGTATTCGTACCGTGTTTGCCCTTCTTTCTCATCCAGGCCCGGGTTAGATATGCGGGTCCTCTGACGAGACGAGGCGAGACGAGTGAAAGACGGTCGGGTGAGCGGGTATTGAGAGGCTCCACAGGCTATTGCATCATGACTGTCTTAGTTCGTGTCTCCCGTGTCAAGCAAAAGCGCCCCTTTTGATCACCGTTTACGTGTTTATGTACTGCGTGCTCACCGTCAATTGGCGGGGAAGGGGGGTTGGCCGAGTGCGCGCGATCGTGGGTTGAATCGTTGACGATGTCTGGATGGGATGTCGTTGAAAGGCTTAAGTAATCTTCGTCCCGGAAATCCAGGGAATCCTATTTTAAATATGACGACGGCCCCGAGCTAAGGCAAAGAACTGTTTTCCCCTCACGCAGGTCTCGTTCGATTTCCCCCCGAGACCTGGGCCGATGTTTTCTCCAATTCCTTGGGAGGCGCATGCACCTGTTTTTTTTTTTTTTTTTTCCCCTTGGACCGAGGCCATGGGCTGGCGCAACGTACGATTGTGACCCACCTTTTAACCACTTTGGGACGGCATGGAAGAGGAACGGTTTCTAGAATGTGTGCGGTCCGTTTGTTTTGACGACGTGTCTGGCGATTCACTGCTCGGGACTTGGATATGGAAGGACGGATGGAGATGCTAAATGTTCGTTCCTTATGAGTTGTACGAAAGCCATCGCCAAGACAGACACACATGGTGCTGTGGGCGGCTGTTTGCTTGATGTTGGCTGTCGAGGAACCGGCATGCTCTGTCGCGAGTCAGCCCGCCCGCGTGCATAGCACGAATCCAGGACCTCCTGGAATACTCCTCTGTATATGGATACTACGGTCATAATCTCCCAAGACGGTCAGGGCCAATGCCGACCGTCGACGACCAACACACCAATGCCGGTACCTCCTCCCCTCCGAGCATGGGTCCCCGAGGGGGAGAGGGCTTGAGAGAGAACCGCCGGCTTGACGGGGGATGGCGGCGAGTACGCTTCAGCTCGACACCCGCACGCATCAGACCACAAAACGGAAGACCTGATGATATCAGGCCCCTCTCCCCATGGGGAATCAGTCCCGCAAGTTCGTCGGCTAGTGCTGTGGATGCCCTGCTGGGGATAACAATGTCGTAAGGCGAGAAGTCTTCGTAGAGTGGGTGATGCGGGTTAAGGTGATAGCCCCCCCCTTGGAGGCCCATTTGGAATTAATAACGTGGATGTGGAAGGTGCTGTTCTCCGGAAGCGAACCTCTGGCCTCTGTTCGGCCGTGCCCGTAGATACCCGATTTTCGGCTGTACCACTGGACAACGGCATGTGATGTGTGCTGCTGGTTGCTATCACGAGATAATCTAGCTACAATGCTCGGGATACTACAAGTAGGATTGTCAACGAGGGTCAAAGACCTTTCCCACAAGGTTGTTTGTCTGTGGCATGAATAACTCTCCCTCTGTCTCTCTCTGGATGGTGGGTACTTGAAATTGAAGATGTATACTTTGGTAGGTTTACAGACACGTCTTCTTTCTGTGGTATGTCATCTCAGAACTCCGTATCGCCCTCCTCATGCTGCTGTCGGTCGAGATCCGCCTAGACTAAGAAACCTCCGGGTGATCCCTTAAGAGGGAGAAGATGGTGAGATACCTGATTTGACAGCTCAAAGTAAACTGGATACTCGGCCATTTGCCTTGATGGTGCATATCTAAAGACCCGAGACCTCGGCACTCCTTGCGGCTGCCACGATCCCAACCAGGCCATATCAGTCAGTTTACGAGTCGGGGCTGTCTGGTTATATCTCTCTTTGCACATGCTAACGTGTGATGAAGGAATGATTTATTACATCTTGTTTTGGGGTTATCAAACCCTAGATAGAGGTCTTCGTATGTCGGCCCAATGTGTGTGCGTAAAGCTTTGGCATATCTTGACGGTGATGACCACGAAAGGCTTTCATCATTGGTTAATGGAATGTAGCGCAAAACGTACGAGCCTCAGCGTTGTCTGTAAGCATTATGAATAAAGTCTTCGTTGTAGACCTTACTGACCCTTCTCCCCCTTGACCAGGAATAAATTGATAGTGAAGTTGTTATCCAGGCAAAGGTAAACCATACCGAGACAGTAGAGGCAGGCACACAGATCGGAGAAACTCCGTTCTGGACATATCACATGCCTGCCAAAGGGCGGCTCGCAGAACGTCGGCAATTCGGCATCATCAATACTGCCGTCAGTAAACCCCGACTCCCCAAGCAGAAAAGTGACGGGGGAATGTGGCTAATTATTATGACAATCGATGTTGGATATATTTCACTCATCGGCTTCCTCCGCGTCCGGCTTCTTGATGGCGTAGCCCTCCACAAACCCATCCGGATCACACACCTTCTCCAGGCTGATCCCGTTTGCAGCAACCCAAGCCCAAACTGCCGCCTTGTCGACCTTGACCCGCGGCACATCCGGTCGGGGCTCGGGCTCGGGTTCCGGCTCCTCCATTTCCACATCCTCGTCTTCTTCTCCATCCACTGCCTCCGTACCGGCACTTTTCCCCTTCTTCTTCGGTTTCGGAGGCGGCTTTCCGGGCCCCTTGCCAGCCTCCACGACGACCCCCATCTCTCTCAGCGTAGCCAAGCAATCCTCCAACGCGATCCATGTCGCTCGACTGCAGTCCTCGAGATCGACCAGCAAAGCCGGTTCGGCGTCGCCTCCCCCTCCCCTACCGTTTGTGGGACAACTCAGTAGCCACCGTGCCACCTCACCGCCCCAGAACCGTTTGTAACCCTTGCGGCCCAGCTCAGAGATCGGTTTCTCCGGTCCGCCCATGACGCCCTCGCGCCGCGAGATCTCGTACGACACGCCCATCAGCAGCGCGCCAAGACCCTTGCGCTGCCAGGGCGGGAATACGAGTATACAAGCGAGGTTGTTGTTGTCCCACGACATCTTCTCCTTGGAGAAGAAGCCGACGATGTGGGGGCGCGGTGGGGGGTCCGGGCTGTTGGGCCTCGGGGGCGGGGTGTAGACCAGGAGGAAGTAGTTGAAGCCGCGGACATCGAAGAAGACGGATTTGTTGTCGAGGAAGAGCTTGGCGAAGAGAGAGAGGTTTTGGCAGAAGAGCTGTTGCAGCATTTGCGTCAGTACAGCATATTTTATTATGAAAGGTACTGGCGACGGGGTTGTTACTCACCACGTCCTGCTCCCCATCCACTTCCCATACACTCCATTCCCCTTCGTCCGTGACGTACTCCTCCGTAAACTTTGGCGTGACGTTTGTCTTCTTTCCTGTCATCCGCGCAATCTCTTTGCGCACCAGCCTCCTCCCGCGTGGGTGCACGTAGACCTTCCTCCCCGGCACCGTCCCCGCGCGTTCGCACACGCGGACGTGCCCCCACCACGCCACCAGCTCTTTC